AACTCCTCAAAGACCTCATGGCTCATTTGCTTGCTGCATTGCACATGCAGATTCAAACACAAAAACATGCACAGACATGTCTGCAACAAAAGAAAGCTGTCCCAAATATCAGTGACACATCTACAGTTTTAAGCCTCCAGTTACAGTACACTGAAAAAAAAACACACCAAAAAAAACAAAAAAAAAAAACAGCAGTGTGTTAGAAAATGCTTCCCAGGCTGTTTGTTGAGCTACAAATTATGCATCAAAATACAAATCACCTTGAGCAATTTACATGACCACAACCGCATCAAACTGTTTATGTTAATAACGCTGCACTTCAAGGAGAGTTCTAGTTACGAGTTTGTCATTTGCAGGCTGGCAAACTTTCTGCTTCGTTATGCCTCGCCGTCAGTGTGTGACCTCTCCCTGAGCTCCTCTCCGAGTGTGCCTGACCTCTGCGCGTCTTTCCCCACCATCAACCGTGGAGGGACTCCCGAAATATCTAATTGTATTCATTCATTTTCTCGGGCCCCGGCAGAGGAAGGAGAGAACAGAGAGCAAAAGGGAGCGGGGAGAGGAAAGGCAGGAGGGAGCGCCGAGAGGCAGCACGGGGGGGAAAGGCGAGGAGGGATAACGGGGAGGAAGAAAGGGCAGCGGGGGGAGAAGAGGAAGGAAAAGGCTTCCTCCTTACAGCTGAGGCATCATTAGAGCCGCTCTCTGTCCCCTCATTAGAATAAACACTCACAAGCAAAGACAGTAGGTGAGATAGAAGAAGGCCAAATCCACAGAGGGAAATGTCCCTTTATTTTGAGGTATTTCAAGTTGGAGGAACTCTCTTAGGACCTCAAGAACTCTTAAATCTCAAGGAAAAGAGGCTCAAAGTAACATTTAGAAGGCAAAAACCAAACGCGACAACAAAAGAAAAGTTTTAAAGAACAGTTAAACCACAAAGAAGTTGAACCAAAATGTGGATATAAAGGTAGCAAAAGAAAAGATACAGGTTTTTCACATCGATCAGTAAGCAAGATTCTACTCTTCTGTTGGAGTTGAGATACAAAACAGTGTGCTGAATGAAGCAAGCCAGCAAAGCAAGCATGGAAATCCCCTCAGCCGCTGCCTCAGTCCCCAACAAAATAAACACTGAGCAGACACAACAGTGGCACCGCTAACACAGATAACGATACGCTCAACCCATGAGATTTCTGACTAATCTACCAATTGCTTATCATTCGGAGAACTCCAAAAACCAAAGACATTCTAACCTGCATAAACATTTTGCCGACCAAACGTTTCCACTTGAGACACATACAGTCCTTATCTGATGTCCCCATTCGACACGGCTGGAAGTCAAAGCTGTAAAAGTGTCCACACTGCTCTGTTTTGTCTACAAGCAACTCCTTGAATTTCTAGCCCCTTTGCTTATTTTTGTCTACAACTCGTTCACACTTTTGTTCCTCCACTCACTGTGCACTAAGTGAAACTATTCAATCTTCACTTTTTTGTTTGGCAACTTCTTAACACTTTTTTTTGTTTGTTTTTTAGTTGTAGTTAGACGCTCTCCAAAAAAAAGAGGAAACAGATGTGACATCCTTTCAGTGTAAAACAGATTTGATTCATTGCCATTTGCACGCTTTGAGTGTTTGCTGTGCTTCTCAGGTGATTAAAGTGAGTGAGCAGAGCAGAACATACAGTAAAGCACAGGCGGATCCCAGATGGGCACAATGAATAAAAAGCAGAAAAAAACGTTTAGTTTTTTTTTGTTTTTTTACATAATCAGCTTTTGGTTTGATGGATTATCTAACTGGGGCAAGTCTTTGGAAGACTCAGCGTCAGACTGCAAGGAGTGGCAGCAGATGACTTTTTTTCTTGACGTACTCAAAAGAAGAACTTTAACATCAGTGCTCGGACAGAAACTTAAAAAAGAATCTGAAAAAAGTCAACAACCTTTTAAAAAAAACTAGAAATTAACCTTTAAATAACATGTAATTAACCTTTAAATTAGCCACTAATGTGATTTATTCAAGTTTCAATATTAGTTTCTTTGTGTTTCTATAACAAAGTGACTTTTTGTGTTCACATGGGGCGTTCAGTAAATTCTTGAAGCAAGCCGCACTTTTGGTGCGACTGTGAAGCCTCAGAACAAAAGGCACACACGCAGGCTAGCTCTGCTACAGTGCCACACAAGCTTTTCTACTGTAATGCACAAGGAAAGGGGTTCAATATTTATTAACTGAGTCATCAATAAGACCGGCTTGCTATCTCTCCATCTCCTCTCTGCTGTTTGGCTACCTCTCTGGCGTCTTGCCTCGGCCCTGCAAGGGCTTGAGTCGAGCAAACTCTATTTGGAGTAAGTAGCACGGAGTGACTGCTGTTAGCAGCGTTACAGCCTCTGTGGAAACCTGTTTCCTTTCCTCAGGCGAGAGAGCTTCAGAAACAGATGAGGCCCAGGAAGCTATCTATATCTCAGATATTACCCCGGACCCGGAGAAGGAAAAAGGCACAACATGCGTGCAGCCGAGTGGATCACACAGCTCTTGTTTTCTCCACTCTCTGCTTTAATGTCACGGTGTCAGATCTGAGATTAACAGTAGTTTTGCTTAAATTCTCCCTTTTTTTTTTTCTTCTTCTTCTTCTTCTTCTCTGAAACTGAGAAAACTTGTCAGCACATCTGGAACATATCAGGTTGACTGAACGGCCCCACAAGTCAAAACTTTTTTGTGTAGAAAAAAAGAGAAAGAAGTGCTGTCTAATAAAAGTTTGTCTATCAGGAGCGGAAATCTAGATTCAACTCTAAAATTGTGTTTGCCTCTGTTAAAGAAAGCGCTCCATAAATAAACAGCCAGGGCAAGCAGAGAGCAGAGACCCAGACCACAACAGTCACGGTCTACGGTATATCAGGGCCGAGAATCTACGCACCCAGCTAGACCGGCTCCGGCTTCAGGAGAGGGCTTCACAGTCAGCCTGCGTTTGTTCCCCTGACCACTAATTGCTTCAAGCAATAAATCATGTTTTCCCAAACTTCAAACTGAATATAAATAGTTGTGCAACAAATTCAGTGTGTGCTATTAATGGCTCTGTGCACACTTTGGAGGGTAAGCTGAGCATTTTATTCAACAAATACTAAGTGCCGTTGGCAGTTGGGTGAGAGATCTCTGTAAACTCCAGCAACAGCGTTTAGACTTAATAAGACCGGGACAAAGCTGTACAGTCTGACTCCAGGAGGGACTTTTAGTCAGAAATGCAGCCTCCACAAACATATCAACTAATTGCTCAGGTGGAGTCAAAGCTGTCCGGGCAGAGAGGAGTTTCACTCAAGGACTGAAGCACCTCTGAGAAACTTTTATTTGAACTTTGCTGACGTGCTCTCATGTGGCCCGTCTGAGTCAACGGCACATAAGATCCTCACTGTGCATCAGACGGACAGGAAGCTCATTGGAAACACACTCCTCTAAAAATGTAAAGAGTCAAGTATGCACTTTTTAATTCCAGAAAGATTGACTATTATTTACAGTATACTGACCATTTGAGTATTTTTATTTTAGCACATTAGCTCAGGACATTGAGGACTTGAGAATCCAAATGAATGAGCAGCCATTTGTACTCAACAGTATACAAAAGTTGAAAACTACAATTCAAGATGTCAAAAAGGGTAGTTTTGACTTTTTCAGAATGAGGAAGCTGAACATGATTAAATAAAGTGGGCTTTTTAAAGAGTGTTGAATGGAAACGTTCCTGGTGTTCGTGCTGTAGAGAAATCCACACATATAGTGGAAGAAATCCTTCTACAGTTATTCTCCCGCGTTTATATTCCAACATATATTTACTTTGAGTTGGTTTCAGTTTTAGCACGTAAACCTATTCATATTTGTTTTTCAAGAGCTCACATGACGTCCTGGCCAAATTTACCTGGATATTATATATGTTTTTAAACTTCAAATAGTGCCATGGAGTGTCCAAAAAAAAAAAAAAAACTTTATGATACAAAAACTCACCAAGAAGAGAATAAATTTCCTCAGCTTCTCTTGGAGATGTTGTTTGACACACAACATGATCCTATTTTAAAACTATTAGAATAAATAGAAAAACTATTCAGTCATAAACACTTAAAAGATCAGCTGATTCTTCCAATGCTGGTTCAGCCCCTCAGTTTGTCTTTTAAACTCAAATGTGAAATTGTCATTTTTTGCCATTTTTCAGCTGGTGCCTTTAATATATTCATATTAGTTTATTTACTGAGACCGCTGTATAACAATAACTTCACAGAATTTCCTGAAGGAGTTATTTGAAATGGACATCTTTATTCTCCTCAAACTGTCTCTAATGAGCATCGATAAAACAAAAACTTCTCTCCAACACTGAACAGAGAAAAGCTACCTTTCTCACCACACAGGTCCGAAACGTATTCACAGGCCTGTACGTAGACTTCTGACTTGAGTTTTCAGAAACAGGGGAGAAACACACGCAGTCTAGCGTGAGTGTAAACGTCCATATTTAGTGAGGATGTGTGGATTTGTGCGGATTTTGTTGTGTGTTTTGCGTCATTGGAACCTGTTAGACACTGTCGTAAAATAGTCCAGTGGTGTCGAGCCTGAGCAGAACACACACAAAAAAACAGCACAAGATAAAGCTCCAGGATTTATAGGATTTTCATCTCTGTACCTAGAGCTGAATAATTCAAAATTTAAAAGTGAGTTTCCTGATTTGAACAATAATGACAGCGGGTAGAGCGATGCAGCCGCTGACGGCTCTGTCCGGGCCTTATTACGCACGGTTTTAATCTTTCGTTTCCTGGGGGCGACGCGCTCTTAATGAGCAGCCACGTATTGAAAATAAGACACAGTTTCCCTTTACATTCCTGTTTTCTGTCATCTCAGCTACAGCCTGTGCCTACAGCTACTGGCATTCTGCCCTCACTGCGGAGAATAAACACCGATGAACCGCGAGGTTCATGCAGATGCGAGGAGACGGAACATCGCCGAGGCTCCGCGGTGAAACCTGTCCGCTGTCCGGCCACTTACTTGGTGTTGGTCCGGTTCCAGAAGACGGCGTAGCGGTCGGCCACCACTTTGGAACTGGGCTCCTGGCTAAATACACACATCAACAGCACCAGGCAGAGGAAGATGACCATTTCCATTTGCAGCATCACTACAGCAAAAGTTCGGCACGTATTCCTCTTCTGTGTTTGGGTCAGTCAGGCGAGTGATCAGGGGCGCTTTCAACCGGGACAGGTGACGAGTCTCATTCACATGTGGCCGTGTATTGCTGGCGCAGTTTGTGAAAGAAATAAAATTGCGCACAACATGGAGAAGGTGGTGTGACCATTCACGGAGGGACTGGAGATGCCACTTGTTCAGGTTGCCGGAAAAAAAAAAATTCAAGTTACAAAACCAACGCGTCACTGCCTATTCTCTCTCGTGCAGGTCGAGGGTCCAGATGAATCATGGGCTTTATTTCAGCTTTGACAAATCCGTGGTGGGCTGACAAAAATATCTCTCCCACTAATGCACAAACAGTGAGCACGTAAGCACGAAAAATGCGCAGCAGCACAAGAGTCAATGTCTTCAGTGGAGAGGTTATGTTCCCTCTTGTGCAGAGAGCTACTGGATGTAACCTGTGTCAGGAACAAGTGACAACTGCTCAACACTTCGTCTTACTCCAAACCCAAAGCGCACGAGGATTAGTCAGTCCAATATGTGATGGAGAAAAGAGAGAGAGAGAGGCTCAATGTGTCCAATGACGGCGTGTGGCGCACGTCAGATGTCCATGTTCTCCAGGCAACTTTTTAAAGCCATACAGTCAGGCAGCCAGTGGTAGGTGAATCGTATTTGTTTTGCTCGGTGGGGGTGTCTCCAGCGTAAAAACAGGTTGTTGTCGTCCCTCTGTGATTTACCGGAGGTGTCACGGCCGAGGTGGGGAGGAGTCCTTCTCGGTGTGGGAGAGAAGACGGACAGCGTTGTGTTTTCTCATGCGCTTCTCTCCGCGGAGACGCTTGTTTATATCCGCATCCCAAACTGTCCTCCTCATATATAAGCCATGGTGGTGCGACGTGCAGGCAAGGGGGGGGAGAAAACTCGCGCTTTCCTCTCTCATGCGCGTGCTGTGTAGTCTTTCTCCTTTTCTTGTGTTTGGGGTTTAAAGACGCCCGGGACACGCAGGAAGGTGAGAGCAAAGGCAGGCAGGCAGGCAGCTCCAGACGCCGACTGAGGGAGTGGGTTTGGTTACGGCGGAGCGGGGGATAGTCCCATTGGTTTGAAATGATTTGAATGGGCGTCACTCGAACAAAGCCAAGCCCCTCCCCCCGCCTAAAACCGAGCTAATTCAATTACGGAGAGGTAGAGCTGGAAGGAGACGGGGGAGAGGCGCACAGGACAGGGACCACTTTTAGATACACGACTGTCAGATCAGACAGATAAGTGCGCATGGCACTATTTAATTACAGGCAAACGGACGCGGTGGAGCGAAAAGACTCAAGTTTCCTTTATTCCAATTACACAAAATTATATTTTCTTAAGTCAAAGACTCTTTACTCTCACTGGTAAATTATTTTTTATTTTAAATATGAACTCGAATATAGAAAAAATAAACATTGGAAATGTTGCAATTTGGCTGCTCCACTAATTCAATTATCATTTGCCCCCACAATGACTTACTCATTAATTGAATTTGATTGTGAGGAATCCAACTACAACACGGTCACATCTCTCCCATTGATTTATGAAAGCAGAGAGGTGAGGGGGCGGGTATCCTCCGTGCTCTCTGTGCAGGCTGCAGCGCAGAGACCTGGTGGCTCCGGGTGTAGATGTGACAGGGCAGCAGCAGCAGCAGCAGCAGCCTGTTGCGGGGAGCAGACTGAAGGGGGTTCAAGGCACCGCTCCAGCGCCCAGACGACCCGCTGTGGCGAGCAGCCGGGATCGCTGACTAAGCCGGGGACAAATCCAAGTTGGAGCGCGCCAGGGGGACCGCGTCTGTCGTCGCCTTGAATCAGACAAGTGCTCACAAGGAGGATTTATGAAAGTTTCGAAAATGAGCAGCAGGCCTGTATTCAGGTGGGAAATCACGGACGCATATAACTGTAACGTGGATTCATATGGATAAAATGTGCAAAAGTTCTGCTGAGAATTTATAGCCATAGTATGGTTTGTTTAAACATTTTTTAAATTGTCTCCAGATTATAGGACTGTAACTCTACAGTAAGAATGAGAAAAATCTGTTGAGGCTGTGTGAACTGCAATGCCATATTCAAGTGGCGATCGAATCTGAAAATAATATGTGATATAAAGTTATTAAAACAATATAGATTTGTTTTAATAGAATTACATCTCACATTTTGAACAAGTGCTTGTATTTACTAAATATATATATTTTTTTACTTTGATGGTGACAGCTCATGATATGTCATTTTTTAAATTATGGAAAAATAATTTTAAATTTCAGACAAGAAAGACTTTGAATGTCACATCAATTTATTCATCCTTGTAAAGTCAAGTTAATGACGTCAAGTTGGTTGCTGAGTGCGTGTGTGTGTGTGTGTGTGTGTGTGTGTGTGTGTGTGTGTGTGTGTGTGTGTGTGTGTGTGTGTGTGTGTGTGTGTGTGTCTTGTGCAACAGGTCCACGGTGCCTCAAGGATACAGACGGAGGGAGAAAAAGGAGCGGGGAGACAGGAGGAGGCAGGAAGGGGTGAGAGGGCAGCTAATATTTTAAGATAATCCTCTTGACCTCCTGCCTTGGCTGTGGTAGACTCAGGGCCGTTCACTTACTGCTATCATCGCAGCAGACACGGGCATGCACACACACACACACACACACACACACACACACACACACACACACACACACACACACACACACACACACACACACAGACACAAAACAGCACACTCTTGTTACCACACACATAACACATCTTAACTTTTTTTTAATGCACACACACAAATACTATTCCACACACACACACACTTAGGACACTATCAGCTACACGGCGAGGAGGGGTGTGGAGGTCATCCTGGAGGTTGGTGAACATAGCTGTTTTCACACCCACTTTACAGCCGTGACATTCCTCTCTTGCTGTGTCCCGTCTTTTCCCTCTCTCTCTCACACTCACACACACACACACACACACACACACACACACACACACTTACACACACACACACACACTCGATAACAAGCATATATGACTGAGCAGTGTGCAAAGCATAGACCCCCAGCTGCTTTCATTTTCTCTGGCATAGAAACACGGCTTTTCCTCCCCATCCCCTTCTTAACCTGCTGTCAGTATCATAGCGGGCTGCCTTGATTACTTCTCATGCGGGCCTATTTTCCCTCTCACGCGTAGCCACATGTTCCGTCAGCGTGGGGCAAAAATGGCCAGAACTGTATTTTAAAATAAAATGATTTATTTTTCCACTGTTGTGTTGATTAGTGACAGTAACATGGACGGCCAGGGGGATGTGTGTTTTTATTTCAAGGGAGAAAGTTTGTATTGACTGCCGTGCGCATACACACTCATCTCTTCCTTTTGTCTGTCGCTTAAGCAGATTTCACTTGTGCAAGCCTTAAACGTTTCTGAACATTTCTTGCAGGCTGCTTCTGAAATCTTCTGGATTTGTTAAGTCACACATGCACCTCACAGCACGAGATTTCCCACGTCAGACGGGAAGGGGGCGGTCTCAGGGGGCCGGACATAACATAAAAAAAAAATGCGGAAATTGCAGAAAAAGTCTAATTTTGTGTTGCCAGTTTTCGCCTTTAAATCAATGATGCGTCTGGTTCAACATATTCACTGTATCAACAAAAGAGCACATTAGAACCAACTGGTGATCAGGAAACTCAATACAGTAGTTTCATCATGTGCAAGGAGATAACACCTGTTGCATGCCAGTAGCAGGATATAAAACATCATCACCCAGTGCCGCTCACTCCTGGTTTATTTTCACTTGAATATTTCCAGCTGTGTTCCAGCTTACATCACATCACCCTGATTTCTGCCGGATAAAATTACAAGGAGGCTTGAAGGATAAATCCTGAGAAAAGAATGAGGCAACATTCAGCTGCTTGCATTCACACATGCAGCTCATCCTAAAAATTTCGGGAAATTTTCTGGAGTTTGGTGCAAGTATGAAAGCGCTGTTCTAAACACGTGGTATATTTAAATTTTTACCATAGAGACTCATCTTTGCCTCTTAAAGCAAATTTTAACTGAAAGGGTTTTATATTCCAGTTTAATATATAGTTCATTATAGTAGCACTACCTTTTTGATACAGTATAAATGGTATCACAGACAGCTTTAAATTGATATATTGAGGTCGTTCAGGCTGAAATGACAAGAATCTGGCTTGAAGCATGAGATTTCACACACTGTAATGTGTGTACGCTCACACAGCCGGGGTCGCAGCAGGGTGAGCTGGGATGCCTGACTGGCTGGGGCTGGGTGGTTCATGCCTTCTTTCTTTTTTTCTTTTTTTTAATGTAATTGTTCTTTTGCCAACAGTACAATTTGAGAATGCATCACAACACAGACTCATTAAAAAGATGAGAGAATGCAGCTAGGTTTGTCTGGTGTCAATACGACAGGTCAGGCATGCCAACAGGCAATTAAGGACATGATAAGCGGTAAAAAAAAAAAAAAAAATCCTTTGAATGGGAACTCTCACCTGCCAATTAGAGGTGACACTAGCGAAAAATATCAGACTATTTGGAAAGCAATAATTCAAAGTATACAGTATGTGACGTTTGATCTCATTGGTTGAATTGGGATGTTTTGTATCCATTAAGAGATTTTCATTCATCATGCCCATACAACCAAAGAGTTATAAAACAGGAACACTGAGTGGATACAGACAGAGTGGCACCATACACTTATAATGGCCTGCTTTTAATATCATAAACCATAAAAAGGAAACATAAAATCTGCTCTCAGGACACCTTTAAAACCATCCTCCCTCATCATCAGATTCCTATAAAGTATCAGTCCAGTTTACAGTACATCACTTCTGTATGTACCACCTTGTGTAGCATCCCCCTCTTAATGTTATGTCTGTTTACTGAGATGCACCGCAGCCTTTGGGACACAGCGCATCGAGCAGTGTACGTGTAATGATCTTTTCAGACAGTGCAGTTCCAAACCTCATTGATATACAGCTCACACATCTATAAATATGATGCTCTCTCACAGGCCCGGGCAATGGGATCGTTGTCAGTTAGAATTACTGAGAGCACTGTGCATGCATTGTGCCCTGTAACCCCATTCACACGATCGTATGCTGCAAACTGCAAACACAGATTAGGCCGGGTTACATATGAGGAGAAAATAGGATTTTCGCATCTTCAGAGCACAGATGGGAAATTTTCACGGCCATGTTCAGGGAATAATAATCACATTTAAGGAAGTGGAGATGGGTTCTACAAAGAGTTAGAAATAAGCACTTGCCACCTGCATATTCCTCATTTGATGGCCACGCAGACTGCCTGACAAACCGTTTAATGCCCCATCTTACACCTGATGCATCAGTCAAGCGCAATGGTAGCATTCAAATTCTCAGCGTCTGTCTCCTCTATATATTCATAAACTTGACACAAACCTTTCTCATTACTCTCGAGCTCATGGAGAACATTACCTCCCTTCTTCCCCTTACCCGCTCCCGCACTCTCTCTTAATTCTCCGCCGCCTCCCCCTCTTTAGGATGCATATTAGATTAAAGATTTTATTGTCACACTCAATACACTTAGAGCGTTGGCAAACTAAATCACGAGGAGACGGCATGTCATAGAAGAGACACCTTGGGTTGACTAAGTCATGACGAGCAGGCACAGATCGATGAGAAGGACTAATCGGATGTATCTGCCGGGACGGGCCCGGCCCTGAATCCAAATGATGGACACCAGATGGGAACTGATGTTGCCATTAGTACACAATCAGTGTAGTAGACAAAGTGATGTAAGGACAACGGCTTCCTATTCAATGAGGAATCAGGTTTTCAATAGGGACAGCCAAGGTCTTTCTATTCAGAGCGGGAGAGAAGGAATCTACAGTGGTGACGGTTTGTTTCTGTTTTTGTGCGGGTAAAAAAAATTAGAGTTTGTTTGGGTGCATTTTTTTCTCTTGTGGTCACACTTATAAGGACCACATGTCCTCACAAGGACAGAATGATGAAGGAGGTTCTGCCATAAAGGACTTTGAGAGGATTTGG